TTTTCAGCAGTACCCCTAATTTTGGCAAACCCCCAAATCTACCTCCAACCGTCAGAACCTTTAGCTACAGCTAAAACTTTGCTGCTGACCCCCGGAGGAAGGTGCGCCTCACAACTTCTTGGACTTGAACCTGCGGCACCTGGCGTTTTCGCTATCAAAATTGACACAGAGGATAGGTTCCTTAAATAGGGGGATCCCAAATATTATAATATAATACCCATAAGAGGGACCCTCAAAAAGGTATCCATGATTTTGGGAAACCTCCCTCTATAACCCCTATATCACCCCTTCATCCCCTTTCAAGGGACTCCTAATTTTGAGAAACCCCGAAAACGGGGCTATCTGCAGACGTGCCTCGACGACCTTGTCGACGTACTGGACCTGCAAGTGGCAAATACACAACTTCTTGGAGCATGCAAGGGGGCATCAATCATGTACAAGCATTCTGGAACCCTAACACCAGAAAGCTCAAATCTATTCTGATCGCTACTTTCTAGACTCCCTCCTTTGCACTTCACAGTTGGTCGCAGGCTCAGGATGCATGATCGCCCAGTGGGTAGTGGTGACAACCTGCCTGCGGCACTTCGACCAACTTCTCCACCACTTGTGTGTGGATCCTGGTGCGTTGTACATCTCAAACCGAAGCCCTCTTGTTGCGTTTCATTGTGCAATCCCCATGCAAGACGTAACTCGACAGCAGGTCACCGTGATATCCTGCAATCTACATCCGAGGCGTAAAGCAGGGTAGAACAGGACGGAGAGACTGTGACTTGTCATGTGATCGCCACGACTTACCCAACAAAAATCAGCCCGGGCCACTTTGGGACGTGATGAAGCCGCTCTTGTATCTCCACCTTCGGCACCTGAAAAAATCCATAAGTAGTGTCCGTTTTCTTCTCCATTTTGCCTATGTAACCCCTATATAGTACCTATATTATAGAGGGAAGTCTAAGGTTGATGTTTGTGCAAGGAGGAGAGTGAGCCTCCACGAGCTTTTCGACAAGCTGGACCTGTGGCACCTTTCAAAAACTTTGGCTTTGCTGAAGGCTTGTCATGTAACGCATATATTACTGAGTGCTCTGTTCTTTGGCCACATGCGCATTGCTGGTTCACTCAATATGTCCGAGATGAGGCCACAGCCTCCACCACGCGATCCACAGTCCTCAGTTGACACATTCAACCCCTTGCATCCCAAGAGCAGCTCAACCCCTTGCATCCAAAGAACAGCTCAACACATTCGCAGTTTTCCAACTCTGAGTTCTGTCTGGTTCTGGCCAACTGCCCATGCAAACTCAGACAGGAAAGTGGTTTTCCTGGCAGGGTCGAACATGCCACGCTCTGCTTGTAGCGGGCGATGCACGATCTTGTCCATCCACCGTCTCGGAGTGCTTGGTAGGACGGCAGAGTGCGGCTTCGGTTCACAATACGAGGACGTTCCACGCAAGTCACGATGTAGGGCCAAAATGTGACGATGCTCCACGCGAGAGCACGCTTTCCACCCAAAATATGAGGACGCTCGACGCGAGAGCGCAATTTTGAGCCAAAATCCAAGGACGCTCCACACAAGAGCGTGATTTCGGCCCAAAATGCGAGGACGCTCCACGCGAGAGCTGACTTTTCAAGATATTTTGGCTCGAAATCACATGCTGGCCAAGTTTCAAACTCGTTTCTCCAGTTTCATACTAGTTTCAAACTAGTTTCAAACCCCTAGTTGCAAACTCCAGTTTCAAACTCGCTCTCTAAGGGGGAATCTGATTTTACGCGCTAGTTTGAAACTAGTATGAAACTGGAGAAAAGAGTTTGAAACTTGGCCAGCGTGTGATTTCGAGCCGAATGGTGAGGACGCTTCACGCGAGAGCGAGATTTCAAGACAAAATCTGAGGACGCCCCATGCGCGAGCGCGATGTCGGCCCAAAATGTGAGGATGCTCCACGCGAGAGCAAGATTTCGGGCCAAATTCTGAGGACGCTCCAGGCGAGAGCGTACCACTGCAGCCGACCGATGCCACACTGTGCTTCAAGCTGGAGCAGGTTTGTATGCACGTCTCTACTAGCCGCAGTGGACTTGGTGTATCGGATGTTCTTCTTATGTTTAACTTCATTTACCTAATGTTCGAGACTGGCCAGATCACGGGCCACAGTCACCATTTCTCAGAAGCTCCAGGGTCCAAGTACAGCTGAGTTTGTAATTGGCCGCCGCTAATGCCAATTGTGAAAATTATTCGCAATCGTGGGCTAACTTAATTATTTGCTTCCTGCAATGCAACAAGGGCTTATGCGCGAATGGACGAAATCCTGCATCACCCACTCGTGTTATCAACATTGACATCAGAGGGGCGAGGGGAGCGAGTCGACGAACATGCCACGCTCTGCTTGTAGCGGGCGATGCACGATCTTGTCCATCCACGGTGTGTTTCATTTTTGCGTCCCGCCACGTCCAGATCAAGCGATGTACAGATCAGAAAGCCAATAAGCTAAGGCTCTGGATTTCCACCTTCGGCACCGCGCGGACGACCTCCTGGATCTGCACCTTTGGCACCTGACACTTTGCAATCTCCTTGTTTTACTTGTCATCCTGCACGGTATGAGAGCACGGCACACTACCACACTACAAGAGCACAAGTGGCACTCAGTATGCTTCAAACTTGGGGCTGCGCTTCAACCAGTCGCTCCTGCCGCGAAAGTTCAGGCTTCAGAGGATAGGTTTGGTACTGGTCTGGTCTGGCTGGATATGTGATGTGATCTGTGCTGCACCATGGGATGTTGCGTTTTCCTTCGCGTTTTGGCGGATCTGTATAGTTGACCCGATGAATACCAGCAATCAGACTGGTGCTTTCCAGGCCAGCGTCCTGCAAGTGCACCTGCGGAACCTCCACAATCCTGGGCCAGTCACACTTGCATGCACCAACTACTTGTCTGCAACAGCTAGAACCAGCTTCAATGACCGGCAACTGCTGCCGCCTGGCCCAACAAACAAACCCAGTGGGCGCAGTGTTTCGGGACTTTACGATATTTTGAACACGAACTGCACCGTGTTGTAAGTGCTGCGAGGCCTACTAATTCTTGCAGCCTGGCAACTTCTCTCTGTACTCCATCTGAATCTTCGGCACTTCGCGAACAACCTGTGAAACTTGTGGCGAATGACGAAATGACAGCACGGCTGTTGCCAGCTTGGAAGCTATTGTAAATCAATGTAAATCGGGTAGCCACGGACAATTGACGGTATGAAAGATCCTGCTCAGACACCGTTACCTGAAACTTCGTACATAAAAAGCAAGGCAGGCGTAGGTGCAAATCAATCCGGCCCACCTCGTGCACCTCCAGTTTTGGGACGTGCCTTACGACCTCCTGCACTTGCACCTGCAGGGGTACAACTGAGATCTGATGGGTTCGCAATGATTCTGATGGACAGCCGGCGTCATCTTGTGGCTTCCCATGCTGGAGACGATCATAGCAGACATCATAAATGCACATCCGTAGCGGCCTGCGGCACCTCTACAAACTTGTCCACAAGCGCAACCTAGCAGAGCATCTTTCAGGGACTGTCGCTTGCGAGAGGATGCAGGTGGGGCAGAAACAAGCCTCAATCCCGCACAAGACGCTATGTGCTGCTCCGCTGTTTGCACACTTGTGCTACTCCCATTTCTTTGCTGAAGGCTTTCCCATTCTGTGAAATTACGTAGCCTGCTGTACGTACATCCTCAAGCTACATTCCCTGCCAGTGCCTGCGGGACTTCCACCAGCTTCTCAACAGTTCGAACCTGCAGAATTGTCACAAGATCCACATGAGCCACTACACTCCTACTATCCCCCTTGATAAGCCCTATAGTAGTGCCCTATATAATGCCTATATAGCTCCCTTTACGGAGTTTAGACTATAGCTCACATGCTCAACTGGTTTGGCTATGTCTTTTCAAACTACGTACGTGCTTCAGACTCTCACTGATGCTAGCCTCAGCCTCCTCATGCGGCAACAAGCTGGTAGCTTACAGGCCTCCACCTTTGGTACCTCGCGGATAACTTCTTGGACCTTCGACAAGCGTGGCTGTGACACGGCTGCATACACTTGCTAGTTAAATTTTTGCGCACTGGATCTCCTCAAGACTCAGTTGAATCAGCTGAGGGCCTCCAGTCGAGGCACAGTCCGAACAACCTACACCAGAAGAGCAGGGCATATGGAGGCTGCTTGATGCTGCTTGTAGCTGTGCCTCTTGGATCTGTACTTGCGGCACTTCAACTACTTTCTCCACGGTGCACACCTTTGGCACCTGACCAAGCAGCGGAGTTGCGGTCGGTTTCTGGGGCCAGCTCACCTCGCCTCAACAATTCGCTCCTGAACCTGCACCTGCCAGGTCCAAAGCAAAAGCTTTCAACTTGCTGCCAAAGTGTGGAAGATCATGCATGCTGAAGCCCATCAGGGTGGAGCCTGAACTTTCGGCACAGTCTTGACCTCATGTGAGGCTCGCGGGCGGCAAGACGATATGGCGGGTAGACCATACAGGCAACTCTGAGAAGATCTCAGGCCACCGCCACCTCCTGAACTTCTATCTTTGGGATAGTTCTAACCTCAGCCCCCCATGGCAGCAAAGGTTGATGGAATCCTTCATTTGGCACAAGGCGAGTCTATTACCAAGGTGGCTGGGACTTGCAGGAACCGTCTGAGGCGTGAGCAACCTCCTGAGTGTGCACTTCCGGCACCTCTACTATCCTCTCTACGTAGCGCACCTGCACAACCAATAGCAGTTGGTCAACTTTCTCAGCAGAATAATCTGGCCTCTGGTACTTCTACGATGCGCTCGGAGACCTCGCCAATCACCCGATGAACCAGTGTATCCACTATTTGCCATGCCACAGCTATCTGCCCTGTGTGACCTTCAATGTAGCTTGCGGATACTTTCGGAATCTTTTCCGTGGGCACAAAACGTTTCAGGCTCGCCGTTGCGGCCCTGCACCCAGCATTCGAGGCCGCAGTTCGCTGATACGTGATCTTGGGTCAAGGATACACACGATTCAGCACTCGTGAAGGCCCACATCCCACACGTTTCAGCCGGGATCCTGCATGTCCAAAATATCTACAGGGCAGCGTCGATATTTGGGCAGGCAGCAACGTAATCCGAATCACACAACGCTCCTCTCTGTAGCTTTCTTTGCCAGGGGTACAGCGCAACCACAGACTCCAAGCCGCACGCCTGGTACTCTATCTTGGGCACCTCCTTGATGATTTCATGCACCTGCCCAACGACACGTTTTAAAATGCTCAATCTCGAAACATACGATCTCTCCCGAGTGTGAGCCTCGACTTTGGGCACAGCTCGGACGACCTCTTGCGTGCACACGGTTGGCACCTGGAATGTGAAAGATTGGTTGACAAGATCCAGAAAGAGCTGCAAGCAAGCAAACACATCATTATAGTGCCCAAACATGCCCAGCAAAAAGAGTAATAACAACGTCACAACGATACAAACAATGATAATATTGACGATAACCGTGGCAACAGCGATACTAAGACATGGATGACCCCCTTTAGGCTGTGTTGACGAAGCAATGTGTTTGCCGTTGGCCTCAACGAGCCGCTCCTTGACAATTGTCTGCGGTACCTCGATCAGGATGTCATTTTGCACCTTGGTTTAGGGTCTTCGGTTTCCGATTGATTTTCCGTTTTTCCACTGGATTCTCTATTTGGGGTAATAGCCCTAAACCCGTAGGGCCTTATAGTGATCATACATGGTTGATAGGGTTAGAAGGATTTTGTTATGTGTCTCTTTTTATCTATATACACATATATATAGATAGAGAAATAGGGTCTGGTAGGGATGTGGGATCCAAGAATGAAAGGTTCACTGGAACAGGATGCGGAAACGGAAGCTGGGGCTATACAGGGTCAATAGGAGAATGGACAAATGGGGACTACCAAAAGAGCGGGGAGTATACAGTCGCACTAAGCCCACTTTCCAATTCACTTTCTATTTTTGGTTCCATTTGATTATAAACACTATTGGGCCCGATATGCCTTAGTGAGCCCTGTCTGAACCTATAATATAATCCAGCCTAACTAGGGCCAAGGTCTGCATCTCACTTCCGAATCAGAATTGAACATTCGCAAGATTCGGGAGTGGCGACTTTGCTGCACATGTTGTCTAAAGTAACTATGTGGACAAAAGTTGCTGATGACAGCGTTTATGTTTCAGAGCTGGAGCACCAGTATCATAAAGATTAAAAAAAGGCATGTCTCGAAGCCTTGTTGTGCCAAAGCTTTCCGAAAACCATTATCTCTGGCATGCAAGAGTGAAGCTCTCAGAATGGAGCAAAGCAACAACTTGATTGTGACGGGAGGGGCTGCATTGCCAGAAATTTACAATGATGTGTTGACCTGGGGTCCTGCCCCATCCACTAACAGTCTATAGCAGGGATCATACTCGGGGCTCCACATGATTATGTTATGAACTTATCTCCAGCAGTACATGAGTGTGGGCAGTATCCAATGTTGACCCCTGCAAAATGCTGGGCCCTCCGGCATGCAGGTTGTCGCCTCCTCGAGACCTGGCTGAAACCGTGAGAATAATAGTAATAATAAGAGCAATATACATATATATAAAACTGTAATATACATAAGCATGATAACAACAGCAAAAATGAGAATTTTGTGGTTGGTTTCCGGTCAGGTTCTAGATGAAGCTGCATTAGTATTTCACAGACCCACAGATACTGTCCACTCCTCTCAGTAAGCCATAGTCTAAACGCGTAGTATACCCTTTAATAACTAACCCCTATAGTAGTCCCCTATATGATCTATTATATAACCCTCTTTAAGGAGTGTAGATTATGGCTCAAATGCGGCAACTGGGAAGGCTGGCCCCATGGTAGAAACCGGGGTCTGCAATTGCGTTGCTTGACCTGGCGCAAAAACTTCAGCGGCCTGGACCTTCGGGTTCAGGGTTTAGGGGTTTAGGGGTTTAGGAGGACCGTCCCCTGTAATAGTGGTATAATGGAATATATAAGAGGACCATAGAGGGCCTTAATATACTCCTTCTTATCCCTTATAGTCGCTAGAAGGTGGCAAAGTGGGTGCTCATAATGCTGCTTGAATTCAGCACATACCTCTCTGCTCTTTCAACTTTGTTCCATTCTGCATGGGAATGTAGCATCCGCCCTGCCTGGGGAAGAAAATAACGGGCAAGGCCCAGACATTGTCGACCCAGCTAAGGCATCCTGCACGAACAGGCAGCAAAGGTGCCAAAGTTTTTCCAAATAAAAACAGTAAAGATGATAAGAATAATGCTAGTAATAACAATAATAGTAGAAAGCAACAATAGCTTCAATATTTGCAAGGTCAAGGAAAAAGCTGCAGACATATCAATCACTGATGTTCATGACACGGATTGGTTAAATCAAATTACCACAATGGGCATATATAGTAAATAACTGGGTTTCCCCAATACAGTAATTTAATGTAAATTCCTTAATAGCAATGGCTGGATTGATGGACTTCCCGGCGGAGCCTGTGCGGAGGCGCTCCAGCTTTGCAGGATGTCAGATGGGTACCTGAGGCATCTGAGCTTTCGTCGAAAATCCTGGTACAGTATCCCCTTAAGAACCCCTACAAGACTGGCCTATATTATATGAGCCCTGGACTAAATTTGTAGTATATCCCTCAATAAGTCCCCCCCCAAAACCCTCTATAGGTCCCACCAACCTAAATTTAGTCCGTAGCTCATAATATAATCCCCTATATAAGCCCCTTTAAGGAGCTCAGATCATGGCTCAACTGAGATCACAGGCCTGGATATGCCATTGCCTGGCTACAAAAAGACAAGCTACATACACGACTAGGACCTGGGGTGGATGTCACAACTTTTAATAAGGATTAAAGTATTTGGAGTCTAGATTGGGGTCACCCTATCTTGGGAAATTCTCAGCCTTTTCGTCCATTGCCTGGTTCCAGCCAATGTTACTCAGTTGAGATGCGAGCCTTGTTAACAAGAATCCTGGTGAACACCGGGTAGAACCGATCTGGCGCACGCCCCAGGGTAGCCAGCCCCATAGCTGCTGCCTGCGCTGTGGGAAGACTGTTGTCTGGGTTGCTGTTAAGGAATTTAGATTAAGTTACCATAATGTGCATATATATATATAGAGTAACTGATAGGGTTTCCCCAATATAGTAACTTCAATTAAGTTCCTGAACAGCAACCCAGTTGTGTGAGATGAGTTAAGTTCCTTGTGGCTGTTTCCGGAAATTAGAAGCAGCGCTTGGGAGTTACCAAAATCTGAAGAATGACTGTAGTACATTGGGTCCTATTTCGTGGCCCCTGTTTAGAGGCACTTTAAATTCATGAACGTCACAAGATGTTCTCAGCACGCAAGAACAAGTGGACATGACCCGCTTTGCCCTTGCATTCTAATGTGAAACAAAACCAGAGTAGATTCCTCGCGGCCCCCACACCGCAACATACCCTTTGGAAGGGTCTTTGCTCTTCGAGGGCCACTAGAAATCTATCCTGAACAGCCAAAGGAGCCCTATCCCCAACTCAACCTGCAACAGATCTATCAACCGCCAAGCCTGCGGGGCTATGTCCCCGCATTGGCAGCACAGGCTCTTGCTCCCTGAGCCATGCGACAGATGCACATTGTAGTGCTGCTTCTTGGGAATTCGTTGGCTGAAGGTCAGGGCAATTCTAGCAGCCAACTTTCGGGGAAAAAGTCCGCGTTCAAAAGGTGCGTTCGCTGAACAGTAGATTACAGCATTGCCCTTAAGTAGATAGAATATGGGTCCCTTTAAAGGGGTTATATAGGGATTCTATGCGGATAATGGAAAAGAAAATGGAAACTACTATTTAGGGATTACAGCAGATTATGATAGTCCTGGCTGTCTCGTCTTTGAGCTAGGGGAGCTTCAGACTTTGCCGACAACATCGGGCTGAATTTGACTGAATGCCAAACAAGCTTGCCGGTTTTACGCGTCTTGTAATACGAGTATATAGCACAACAAGGAGAGACTCCTTGGAAATTTCGCAAGCATGCAGCATGAGCCCAGAAATAGCCTGCCAAGTACAGGTTCAAGAGCAGCAGTGGAAGGCAACGACGCCTCAGGATCAGGCAAACATGAAAGGCATGCATTCTCCTGGGCAACGGGCGTCAATTTGGGCTTTTGAGATTCGTCATGTCTGTCAAGGAGGCCTTCCATGTCGTCTCAACATAAGGCTGCAAGCAAGAGTTCTTGAGCAATGTACGCGAGACCAAACATGACCAGTATTTGACCGGATGTATATTGAGAGGCGTCGCAGCGCTGGACTCAACACGGCGAGAAAGCATCTAAGAGTCAATGCCACCGGCACTCTGCACGAAAGTCATGAAGCTGGAGTGGAAACCTAAGGCTTGCTCGTGGTGTGATGATGTCTCGCCGCTTCATACATACACATCTTGCGGAGAGTTTGGACCATGAAACTTGGACTTGGTCCAGCCATGGCCCTCAGCTGGAAACCTTCCCCTCAACGCAGCTGAAGCAGTGCTCTGACAGTTCAGGTCTAAGATGCCCTAAGGAATGTTGCAGTTGCGGCAGGATCCTCCCCAGCTTGTCTGAGGGTACGTCCAAGACACTGCTAACTGGCACGCTCGAGCAAAGTACTGCACAGATTGACGTCGAGAGGATTGACGATACTTCGAAGAGGCCGAGTTTGGAAGAAATTCCTTCTTATTAGACCTCGTAGGCTCTAGCACGTTTACTGTGCAGATCCCAAATTACGCCCATACTTGCTGTGGTCGAGGCCACTCAGCTTGCGAAGGCAATCTTGGTCAACGGCATGGGCACGAGCTCAGCTGGAACAAGGCCAAAGGCCGAGATCTGGACTTTTGCAGCCCTAGCTCTACGTCAGCGGTTCCCCTGGAAGGACAAGTGTTGTCCTAAGCTGTTGCAAAGCAGGTGCTGCCAAACCGGTTCTGTGCATCGCAGTCCGGAGCTCATGCGTTGTGCCCAGTCTCATCAACGGGGACCGCAAACGGGGTACTGGCAAATGGGAATTGCAAACGCGGGGATTGCAAATGGAGTACATATTGCAAACGTGGGGAACAAATGGGGGATTGCAAGTGGGTTTGCAAACAGGAGTATTGCAAACCAAACAGAGCCAATTCAGTGCAAATGTCTGCCAGCTCAGCCCTATGCTGACGCTTTTTTACCCGATTATAACATAGTAGCTTCAATTTTTTTTCTATTATCCCTGTAACACCTATATAAGCCCTATATAAACCCTATATAATCCCCATATAATCCCTATAGTTTCCATTTTCTTTTCCATTATCCCTTTTTAACCCCTATAATCTGCCTCACTGAAAACTCTGCCAGGGATCCCAAAGTCTGGGACAGTCTTCCCGAAGGTCACTTGCCGTGGCTTTGGGAGCTCCGCTGCAGCCTCCGGCACCGGCTGCCTGACTGCTTTGTCCATAGGGAGTATGGGACTGTAAGGGTATAGGGATAACAAGGATTATAGTGCTTTGGGGTCTACATTAGGGTCCCCCTATTTTGGGAAACTAAGATGTCAACCTTTCACGAACCGTTTCGTGTAGTTTCGGGTACCTTTCGTGCGGCCATGTTGTTTGTTCAATCGCCCGCGAACTGCCATGCGCATAGCTTCATGGTTTGTGGATGGGGGCTTTTGAGTGACTCCCAGATGCGCAAAGGCAACTCACCAGCTGGTCCACGGGGCAATATGCCTGTATGCAGCCAAAGCACGACTTGCATTTTTGCACAGCTCCTTGCGCATAGACTTCATTCAGCGCTCATACGAAAGGAGTTGTTTGCTGCCCACTTTTATGGTCGAGATGAGCTTGTTGATATGCCAACTGGGCAACTCAATCGTTTGCTCTGAGAAATAAGAACTTGACCCCTTGCAGCCCATCCTGATTCGAGAGCCTCAGGCCGGGAAAGCCGCAGATGTTTGCCTTGGCATGACGTAGACTTGCCAAGAAAGAAAGCCGTGATGGGCGTGCATGCAATTGGGGGTCATCTCCATCCATGCTAAGCTCCAATGCAGCCATGTTCGTTCAACTTCCTGCATGCGTTGGCACAAACCATCCAGCCTCCTACGGAACTCCAAACCACCCAGCTGTTGTCATCCAACACTTGCAGCATGTCAAACCTTCTGCGACTTGCACCGCTTTGCCACTGAGATGCGAGTCTTCATTGACTTCAGACGCTGCAGTGGCGGCCGTGGTGCGTTTGTTCGAGCATGCTTCCTGAAGCGCCGCCTTGGCCAGCATGCTTTTGAAGCACCGCTCACCAGATTCCCAAGCTCAAATCAAGGCGCCTATGAGAATAACTGAACCACTGGCATCGACAGGGATGGTTGCAAGCAGTTGCAAGCAAGGTGCAAGCTTGTGCACCCGTCTCTCAGATCATTGTGGTACAAAGCGGCCTGATCAAAGCAGGGAACATAACCACTTTTCTGAACAAGTGACCTGCTGCTGCTGGAGCAAGAGGTTACCGCTACCATGGATGTTAAGCAGCATTTGCAGTCATAGCCTGTGCCCGCGAAGAAAGCCCTCTGAGCTGCCAGCCGTCACGAGGAGTGTAGCTGAGTTCATGAGCATCTGAAACGCCACTTGGTCATGAAACAGCGTGTAGTCAAACCTGCAATTCCGGCAAACGACCGGACACTTTGCATTACCCTGTGTGATGGGCACAGGGAGCATGATTCCCGACTCCATTGTGGAGCACCAAAAAGTTGCTCTGTCTCAGCGATTGCACACGGTACTGGTACGGTCGTCGTTCACGCTTCGGATGCTCAAGGTGAAGCTATCTAATATGGGCGGATCCTACATCATATCATATATCCGAAAGAATGATTTTGACGGGGCACAGGATTGTCTTGCACTTTTATCGAATTTAAAGAGATGATGACCTGGCCTCTTCTTTAAAAGGGATGAACACATGATGTACATGGAGCAGTAGGGGAAGCCGGGCCACAGGAACAGCCAGAAGAATGTAATCCCGGCAAGAAGACTCATTGCGAAGAGCATGACCTTAAAAGCGAGTTGCACAGCATCACACAAACGAACATGCGCACAGCTGCAAGGGCCATCATACATATCATACGTGAAGCTAATTTGAATCCCAAGCTGCTGCCAGATTACCAGCCAAAAGCTGCCTGTCAGGGGCTGAACCACAAGCGCGTGTGCAGCCTGAAGCGACAGTCGGACTCCTGCTAAATGGTTGCTCTGCCGGCCTGCCCTGCAGGAGGTAATCGGCCAGGAGAGTCAAGTCAAGTGCCAATCGGACAAGACTAGGAAAAAAGCCAAGCACCACCTCAGCACAAACTACAGGCGCCGCCTCAAATGGTGTCTGCGCATGATTTGATGCTCCCTAAGATCTAAGCCGCGTTAAGACAAGGATCTGCAAAGTAGTGCGCGCTCAACCGCAAAAGTTCTGGCAGCGCCAGCGTGGTCAACAGGTGAAGCCCTCAGCTTCGGGGGGACCCTGATTCGGGGGAGGAACTAAAGAGATGCCCTTCAAATAATCGGAGGGGGGGAGGGCGCTGCCATGTTGTAGAGAAACCCGGCTACAAAATGTCATGTCCTCGCTATCGTCACGACAACGTTTCTTTGTACAATAGCTTGCCGGTGCTCTCATGCTGATTACATCACAGCAGCCTGCACTGACGTCAAGCAATGTCAAGCAGTTTTGTGTGTGCACCCCTATTTGTTGCCATCGTTTTGCCACAGCAACCTTTCCCTGCGCAAGATTCACATTGTTCATTGATTGCCGGAAATGATTGGCAAGCACCAGGTGCCACACTATCCAGAGCTTGCCACTATCAAATGACCTGGTCATTTCCCAGCAGCAAGTCTCCTCTAGACTTCTGTTGAACCATTCCAGATGACCTATAGTCTAAAATCCAAGTATCCCCTCTAAATACCCCTAGAAGAGTACCCGATATAGTCCCTAGATGACCACCTAAACAAGCTCAGGTTATGGCTTAGATCAAGAACGAGGACGGCAGCACAAGACACAACTGCTTTATGCATACCTCCTTCTCTCTAAAACATGGGGCGGAGGGGGTGTTGTAATCATTCTTAGAAGGGAGTCGCTTAGCAAGCTATAGAGGATTGCTTCAGGGGGATTTTTTGATGCATCAACAACAGCTCGTCACTGTAGAGGATCATTTTAGGAGGATCTATGGGGGACCTTATTTTGACATGCCCGCGGTGGTAGCTTCCCCAAGTAGGGGAACCCCAATACAGACCCCCATATACAATGGTCCTTATTAAGGGCACCCCCAAAATGGTACCCTAAATCCTAAGGCCCTAAACCCCTAAGGCCCTAAACCCCTAAACCCTAAAGCCTAATCTTGCAACCCCCCCAGTGGGAAGATAGCAAAAAAAACAACATAAGGCTGCACCTTCTCTTGGGTTGCTGCTAAGGAGCTTAATTTAAGTTACCGTAGTATGGGTAATATAGGGTTGAGGACTTAACTTGCCACAATATTGGAATATACTATACGTAATGGGGTTTCCTTGTTATAGTAATCAGCTTAATCTAAGTTCCTCAACAGCAACTCAATCCAGCTTCTGTCACAGATGTAGAAAAACGCCGGCAACGTAGTGGCAACGGCAACGCTGTAGCCTTAAGCAAGCCACTGGCAGCACATCCAAGCACGTGGCCGAATACTGGCTGAGGGGAGACTTGCGAGATGGTGCCCGGAGAGTTTATATTCTCATCTTCTTTTCTAGTGCAAAGATCAAGCCCTTCAGATTCGAGCATCTCCTTTTGACATAAACATCTAAAGCTGTTAGCCTGCCTGTAGGCCCCAGTCTGGACAGTATGGTGCTGTTCAAGTAAGCACTACAACACTACGTAGCATCTTGTGTTACATAGTATTCCATCTGCCTAACTGTAGCCCAAAATCAAACCAGATCTTCCGCAAGATTAGCATCACCTTAGCCCCGGATCCATGATACAGCTCTTTGTTCCAGGGTACTACCGGAGATGTCTCGTCTACTGAGCCTTGATTTGGCGGCCTGAGTTGGTGGCTCCTGAAACTACTGGGTTGCTGTTAA